CCATATTTTTTCTCTGTGCTTGGTCAATAAAAGTGACATTCACTGACTTCCACAATGCTTTTTCTTCATTTCTTTGAGTGTTCCTGAAAGCCAACAAGTTGCACTTTGAAATGACCTTACTATTGTTTCATGTTTTGATCTGAGTTTGTTTTACAGAATGAAATGTCTGAGTGCTCATTCAAGGCTCGTGATTCCATACTTTTTGCCAGGAGTTGTTTAAGCAAAACAACAACTAACTGAATGTTTTGGTACAGAGCCATAGGAACCCTCCTTCCACTCCAGTTTTTCAAAAGCATCTTCATTCACAAGAATTTCAAATGAGCTAGCAAGTAACTCAGCAATGGGGTAGTAACAGTAAGGACCCTTGCTGGGGGTGTAAAAGCCAGAACGACGTTCATATTTGCAGACATAGTCGGTGCGCTTGGTGTGATTATTGTAAAATGAAACAGCTCAATTTGGCAAATCCCCATTCCACTTCTCCCATCTCAGTTTGCTGTCTGGGTTAAATATGGAGGCGTATGAGTTAACCTGCATTTTGTGTACTGATTCAGTAGGAGGCACAACGTGATGGATTGCTGAGATTGTTACGTTAAATATGATATCAGCAAATCCATCCTTCAGATCTGGGGTCAGAAATGGGACTGTGTGAGAAAAAAATGCGTTTCAAAAGTAAAACATAATACTTGTTCTTCTACATTACACAGAGTTTCCCTGACCATTATCAGGTGATTTTACATAGCTGAGCAGTGAAGGAAGGTTAGAATCAAGCTGAAGTGAGTAGGAAGGCCATGGCCAGGCCGGTTAGTGTTGACGTCCCAACATGTTTCTAATGGTTCCAACGAACTGATGAAGCTTTTGTTTATCTGTTTTTAAACTGTTTCATATTTTTACTTCTGTAATTTTATTGTTTAGTCTTTGTGCTTGTTTGTGACATTTTTCCTCAGTTTAAACAGTAAGTTTCTGTCAGGAGTCCAGAAGATGAGAAATGATTCTTACCAACAAGGAAATCAGACCTGTTAATGAAAGAAATGTAAAAAATGTAGCCTGTGATCTAACCGCTGTCAAAGCAAATCAGATAGTTTATTTGCATCCCTGCCAACACTTCCCTGTAGATGGTTCTTTGTTTATTAATGAAGAACATTAGTTTATACATGATATGATGTACGGACTGCAGTCATGTTTTACAGCCGACAAGAGGAGCTCTCCATCATGTGTTAGTATTAACCTGGAGAAACACTTGCATTCCTGAAACAGTGTCTCCTAGTGGCGCAATTGCCAACAGGAGTCCTTAGACCCAGATTATCACTATTACATTTTCTCCTGTTTGCTTTGACACAGCAGTCCACTCAAACTCCACATTTTCAAAACAGTGAACACACAGGACTCAACAGTGGCACGATGGTCAAAGTGTGTTCACTGTTTTGCAAAGGAGTGAAGAAAATGTGTCAATCCAATGAGAAATGGGAAACACATTTGCAAGAGGTGACTCCTGCTCTGCTAAATTAGTGATGATGAAAATGAGTGGGACCTAGTTTCTTTAATTGGGTCAAAGCAACCAAGAAAAACTGTAAAACAAGACACCACAGAACACAAAACTTTACCTGCTTACAAGGACACCTTTGAAAGTTTCACTGACCATGTTCTGTCTTATTCCAGCCTTGTACTTTGTGTGACATCTGCATATGATGGCATTCAACTGGCCCGTTTGGTTTATGTGGCCCAAATATGTCTATTTGGGTGTTGTGGTGCTGGCCCAATGCATGGACCACATCTGGTAAATTATATCAAGCCTACAGGGCCATCATTCTCTGTGATATCTATGCTGAGTGTGGGCCAGAACTGGGCCAGACAAATTTTGCTGCATGGAGTACAAATTTATGGTGAAAGATTTTTAAAAAAAGTAGTTAAATGCTCACAATGAGTGCATGTTTTGTCTTAATCAAGCAGGACACGTTTTTCTTTTTTCAATGCTCGTGCTTTATTACTGCAATACAAGGCTTAAAGTTGGAAAGAGACAGGAGCTTGAAGGGTCCATTGAGGAACATACAACTGTAATTTTTCAAATAAATTTAAATAAAAATTCAAATTTGAAAAAAGATAAAACATATACAAATTAATGTGTATGTTTTGTATTTAAACAAAAAAAGGTCAATCGTTTTTTAAATTTATGATCAGTACAAAAATACGATGATTTGCAAAGTAAAAAAATGAAACAACGAAAATATTTGCTTTTTATTAAGAAGCTTAGCTGGTTATGTCAAATCATGGTTTCGTTTTTCAGAAAGTTGTAAATCTTTTACCATTCAGGCACAAGGTTTGCTGTTGGACAAAGGTTTACAGCGATGTGCTTTGACATTAATGTCAGCAGACTGGACACCATGATATGTTCCAGACACGCTGGTCTGTCTGGTCTCTCCAGTTCTGTAGGTGCGGGTGAGGCGGGCAGTAAAAGGGATGTTTGTGTTGTACTGATAACCAACTATTTTGATAACACAGCTGTGGTTTGGGGGTACAGTGAGATCAAAAGACACCATGTGTGTATTCTCTTCTGTCACAGATTTGCCCTTTGAGTACTGAAATGTTGCCTGTGAAGTGAATTCAAATGTTTTTGAGGCGATATTAGGAACTCCTGCCGTTATGGTTACCGTTGTACTGAACATTAGGGAAAAGCTGAAGTCCCACTTACTCGTTTCACTGGTTTTTGTGGTAAGACTAGTTGTTTTTGTCACTGGTTGGCAGTTAGCATTACTGATGGTTGACTTTTTCAAGACCTTTGGAGGATTCTTGAGAATTTCAGCCTGATCAATATTATACTTGACATCAGTGACAAATTCATGTCTAACATACATGTTGGTGGTCAGAGCCTCATACGTTTTCTGGTACGAATATTCTAAACCTTCCCAAGGAAGATAAAAGGATTTGTCTTTTGGATACACTGTCCCCAGACCATACTTGTTCTTGCCTACATACATTGTGTTAGTGGAGCAACTACTGACTGAATGTTCTGGCACAGAACCATAGGAACCCTGCTTCCACTCCAGCTTCTCAAAACCATCTTCATTCACAAGGATGTAAAATGAGGAAGCAGTACGCTCCTTACCAGCATCAGTGTAGAGACAGTATGGACCTTTACTGGAGGTGTAAAAGCCAGAATGGCAGTCATATTTACAGACATAGTCGATGCGTTCAGTGTAATCATTGTAAATTGAAACAGCTCCATTTGGCAGACGACCATTCCACTCCTCCCATCTCAGTTTGCTGTTTGGGTCGAACACAGAGGCGTACGGGTTAACCTGTCTTTTGTTTCTGGATTCAGCAGAAGGCAGAATACGATGGACTGTTGAGATTGTTACGTTAGATATGGTATCAGCAAATTCATCCTTCAGATCTGGGGTCAGAGGTGGGACTGTGTGGGGAAAAGAATTCAAAAAAGTGTTTTAGGTACAACATAAAGTATATGTATTCATTTGAATTTATACAGCTTTTGGTTATAGATGAACAATCTTTGAGTCCATCTGGGTTTGTCACTGGAGTGTTAGAACATACTCAAAACCTTTAAAGTGCCTGTGACATGCACATTCTTCAAATACAAAAAGTCAAAGAAAACTTCTTAATATTTAAGAAAGTTGGAACAATACACACAATTTTACCCATTTTGTCCCTTAACTGGCATATTTTCTTTTGAACTTGGCTTAGCCAAAGTGAAAGGAAGTGACATCAAAGGGGAACTCTTTAACAAAGGAAGCTCCCTCTTTGTTTATTGAAACAATATTATTTGAACTCTGATTCTTCTTCATCTCTGATAGTGACTCAAAATAATCTTAAGAAACATCAAATTCTTCTCTACAGTCTGTGTTGTTAGCTGTTGTAGCACTGCTCTGTTCACATCCAGACATTCCCCTTTGACATCACTTCCTGTTAATTTACAGGCAAAAATCTCAACAACAGTTCATCTCAGCGACATGAATTTTCTTTTGCAATATTTTGTGAATAACATCTTTTCAAAAATGCATTCATATGTATTACAAAAAAATTTTATGTCACAGGTACTTTAATCTTTATCAGCTCACAGAAATGTACAATTCAGTTGCTTGAATTTTGAAATATTTTTTCAAGGATTTCAATGATTTTTTTTCAAGAATTCAAGAAAAATTAGATAAACTGAAACTGCGCAAAGCTTGGAGAATTTTAGAAAGTGTAACAGCTACAGCTTAGCATTGTGGATCTAAATTTAAAGTCATATCAAACACCTGACCTGCTTCCTCATAATCATTTATCTTCAAATAGACTCAAAGTTTAAATCTTTCTTAGTTATCAGTCAAGACACTTGTCGATTTTTTGTTTTTACCCTTTTCTTTCAGTGCGTGGTTCTTCACAGCTTCATGCAGACTGGCTGAGGACAGAACCAGCAGCAACAACAGCAGCTGCTGGAAATAACACAGGATAAAAATTATGATTAGTTACAAACTGGTGAAGCACCAAAATCTTCCTTCAAACTCATTTACTTCACTCTGAACCCTTGAGAGTGGTCCTTAAAATATTTCTCTTTTTACACATTGCGTCTTTTTACTTTTAATGTTTTACTAAAAATAATGTGCCCTTTTCTCCCTTTTTAGTGAGTCTCATCTAAAGTAAAAATGTTATTTTTTACCATGTTTTTGTCCAGTAGTTCTCTCCAGTCCTAGCAACTGAAGACTGACTGCAGCTCTATGAGAAACAGAGTAAAACTGTTGATTTCCCCCAGTTTCAAATAAAGAACAAAACAAACACTTCTGTTTCCAAATTATAACATTATTAGAGTAAATAAAAAAATAATCTGGAGATGAAATTAAATTTAATCTACATAAGTAGTAATGTATGAGAAATTAAATCACAAAAAAGCTAGTTTTGCTTTCAGTTTAATATAATGTGGAGTTTTGACGTTGGCTGATTATCTTTATTTAAAGATTGGTAGAAATGACAAAAATTCAATTGACCTCACATATCTGATTTAGTAAAAAAAAAAAATCAGTTTTACTTCCAGTTTATGAAATGGTTTATTTACTCCAGAAACAAAGAAGAAATATAAAACTATTTTACCTGAATTTGATGAGTGAAGAGCTTTTTACTGGATTAAAAGATGAGTCAAAAATGGAAAACTCTTGTTTCAAAGATGTTTCAGTGAGGACAAACTCTCTTGAATGAGTTTCTCCACATCTTCTGTGTACTCAGGGAGCAGAGGAAGAATGTTTCTGATTGGCCAATCTGCTAATTCTCTCATCTAACACCAAATAAAGTCAGTGTTTGCTTCAAAATGTCCTCATTGGTTGGTTGATGATCTGACTGAAACACATCATTTCTGGTTTCATTTGTTAGTGCCTACTTTGAATGCATTTTTTAAATTTGTTTGTGTTTTGTGCACATTTCAAGAATATTTGTCATCATGCACAATGAAATTTTGTTTGGTAGGCTACTCACAAAGTGCAACGTTTTTCTTTTACACTATACAACGCTTGTATACAACGCTTGAGAATATAGCAGCAATTTGCATGGCAGTATAACATTCAGCAGCAATTAAACAATGTTGGTGAAAACAAAGTTTGTTTGTGTGCAGCATGTTCCAGTCTTTATGTGAACAAGTGGATGGTGTGAGTGTATGAGTCTGCAGGCGTTGACGGTCAATTTGCAAATGCTCGGAAAGCAGAGAGGTGATAGATTTCACAGCTTTAAGAAGCTGTGTTCAAGAGGTGAGAAAAGTTTCTTATCTGTTATATGAGGGCTAAATGATTGAAAGCTCAACCACAAACATTCAGTATAAAGTTGGTACTAAAATAACAGGATCATTGAACTATGTTGTCTTGGCTTTTACTCAAAAGTATATTTAGCCTATGACATATATTTAAATTTTGACCAAGGGTTGGTTGACCTGATGGATATCCCCTCATCAGAGCTAAACAACCAACGAAAATCTGAAGCTCTTATGTTTAATAGTTCTTGAGCTATAACCATTTTTGTGTGTCCAGATACCACTTTTTCAGGAAAAGTGGAGGTCCGGGGGGTGGGGGGCACTGATTGGTGGGCCTGATGGATAGAGCTTCATCAGAGCTAAACAACAAAAGAAATCTGAAGCTTCTATGTTGAACAGTTTTTGAGTCACAAGCATTTTTGCATGTCCAGACACCCCCTCTTTGAAAGGAGCCCCCTCCTCAAATATGGGGTCTATCGTAAAACCGTTGGCTGGCGCAGTGTAGGTC